TTGAAGTTCTAATCAAACCCAATCATCACAAAATAAATATGTAGCTGCATGTATGCACAAACATGTTGCTACCTTATGATAAATTTTAAATTAATGAAAAAAATTTATTTTCCTAGGTTTTTATGAGCACAAAAATTCAAAATTACCTCAATTTATATCTCTTTCAAAAGGAGCAAATTTTAGGGTGTCACATCGGACCCTTCAATAGGGGAGGCGGCTCCCACGCCATCGCATGAACCAGCACCTTCGCCCGTGAGCATAGGGGTTGTGGCTCTGTCGCGCATGCCTTAGGGGTCCCCTGCCGCTGTCGCAAGGACGCCTTCCGCGCCCGCGACAACAGGGGAGGTGGTTCCATCGCGCGCACCCACAGGTGTGGGTTCTGCAACATCTCTCATACTCACAGGTGCACCTTCCATGTTGCGCATGCCACCAGAGGTGGACTCTACACTGACCCCACCCGTATGCATCATATCACCCACGCCGTCGGGGTGCCACCTCCATTGCCCAAAGGGGCGCAACCTTTCGTAGGGGTGGATCCCACCTTGGATGCGTCTCCAGGCTTTAGGACTGTCCCTACCATGGGCCTGAGTTTGTCAATTGATCGTCGATCGACTCCTCCAGGCTTAACGCATACCACGACACCTCCCTTATCCATTAACGTCGCATCGATGATGTGCTTGGAGGGGAGAGGTGCGTGGCCATGCCAAATAGGTTGTCGATGGTGAGGGGTAGCTACTGTCCAACGAGGAGGGTGATAATTGGCTCCTTGCTCCTTTAGACTATCTCCAACAATAGACCTTTAGGCCTTATTTGATGTAGTCAGATTCGCATAAATCCACATGTGTTGGGATGGATTGGAGTGGAACTTCAACTAAATTCCATCCCAATCCACCCCAATACATGTAGATTGAGATGAATCTGATAACATCCAAACAAGGCCTTAGTAGGAAACCCATTTGAAGGTATGCATCGTGCTATAGTACAAGGGTCACACACCTATTTTTTGCCTTCTCCAATAGGGAATGCAAAAGAGAATCCAAAATAGGTCGAGGAGAGAGGACACTCATATTTGGGTTCTGCCTCGCCTGACACCTAAAATGGGTCTTTCGTATGGGTACTCTGTTGGACCCTTTTTTCTTAGCCTAGGACATGCATTTTGGGTTTGGATGCCCTTATGCCTAGCCTATTGGAGATAGTCTTACTAAAGCAGATCACGACCCAGCATGGCAAGCGGCCATGCGTGAGGAGATGGACTCCATCGAGTAGAATGGCACATGGTTGCTGGTAGAGCTCCCTCATGGGCATCGTTCGATTGTGCTGAAGCGGGTCTTCAAGCTCAATAAGAATGAGGCTGGAGCAATGATCAAGCACAAGGCTCGCCTCATTGCCAAGGGATATGTGCAGTAGCCAGGCATGACTTCGGCGAGATGTTTGCGCCCATGGCTCGCCTTGTGTTTACATGGCTACTGCTAGCCATGGCTACACAAGAAAGTTTGTAGGTGCATCACATGGATGTGAAGTCAGCCTTCCTCAATGGTGACTTGGGGAAGGAAGTTTACATCATGCAACCACTGGGCTTCATCATCACTGAAGCTGAGCACAAGGTGTTGCACTAGCAGAAGGTGCTCTATGGGTTGTGGCAAGCACTGTGGGCTTGGATCGAGAAGCTGGACATTACATTGCGAGCTCTCATGTTCGAGCATAGCCCACACGAGCCAGTGATGTACTAGCGTGCCCGTGGTAACTCACTACTCCTCCTCAGGGTCTATGTGGATGGTTTTATCATCACTGGATTGACCGAGGCAGAGATCAGCAGCATCAAGGTGGAGATGAAGCCAAGGTTCAGGATGAGCAATTTGGAACTGCTCTCGTTCTACCTTGCCATTGAGGTGCAGCAGAGCGGAGATGGTAGCGGCATCACTTTGTGCCCACTATGCCAAGTGCATCCTAGAGATGGCAGGGATAAAGGATTGCAATCGTGCGCACAACCCCATGGAGGAGGAGCTCAGGCTAAACCGTGACAGCATGATAGTGAAGGTGGATGTCACTCTATACCGGAGGATCATTGAAAGCCTTCGATGCCTCATCCACACATGACCAGACCTTGCTTTTAGTGTGGGGTATGTGAGTCACGTCATGGAGTGGCCTACGGAGGAACACATGGCAGCAATGAAGCGGATCCTGCGCTATGTGGCAAGGACTCTATGTCTCAGCTGCCACTACGGGAGGACAGGGGAGGCGCGACTCCTTGGGTACAACTTTAGTGACCTCGCTGTCAATGTGGATACCAGGAAGAGTACATCTAGGGACCTGTTCTTTTATGGGTATAGCTTGGTGAGTTGGCATGGTCTCAAGCAGAAGGTTGTGGCACTCTCGTCCTATGAGGCGGAATATGTTGTTGCCACAACGGCAGCCACACATGCAGTGTGGTTCGCACCTCGCACGCTGCTTGGCAACTTCAAGGGAAGAGACACCAGCACTGTCAAGCTGAAGATTAACAACAAGTCAGGCTCTGATGAAGAATCCCATCTTCCATGAGCGTAGCAAACACATTGATGTGCGCTACCACGCGGATTAGTGCTGATTTTGTTGGCACTAAGGACCGGCTGCTGACATTCAAATGAAGGCACTTGGGCGAGTCAGATTCCTTGAGCTTCATGCTAGAATTGGAATGGTCCCCATCAACTCCAAGTCAACACAGGGAATTAGGGGGAGATTGCTGGAAATAATCCTGTGTCTAGGTGCATGTTAGTGTTTTGGTTCATAGCATTTACTTTAGCTAAATTTCAGCATGGACTAATATGTTGATTAGTTGGGTAATATTCTGCATTAATTAGGAGGCTATCACAACCTGATTTGTAACTCATATTTGGCTATATAAGTACTCCCTCCATTCCAAATTATAAGATATTTTGGCTTTTCTAGATACGTTGCATTTGCTATACACATAGATATACACTACGTCTAGATACATAGTAAAAGCAATGTATCTAGAAAAGCAAAACGTCTTATAATTTGGAATGGATTTAGTAGAAGAGAAAAACAGAAAAGGCTTAAGTCGTTCCAACCACCAAAACCACTTGTGCGTATGTGTCTCTCTAGAAAAGCCAAAACGTCTTATAATTTGGAACAAATTCAGTAGAAGAGAAAAACAGAAAAGGCTTAAGTCGTTCCAACCACCAAAACCAATTGTGCTTGTATGTGTTTCTTGTGTGTGAATTCATGCTATTCTGTTAGAGGCATATTTGTCTTTCAAATGGTATCAAAGCCCATGGTTAGAAAATCTAAAAAATCTCAGGGTCAAACAGTGACAGGGGAGTCCATTAGCATCTGGGAGGCTCACATGGATCATGTGTGACATGTAGCTAGACTCTGGGCCTAGAGAACATCTTCTGGACATCACACAAGGTTGTGTGATATTAAGAGTTGGCCTTGATGTATGATGAGAGATATTGTTAGGTTTAGTCGCACATCAAAAAATGATAATGGGGGAGCTCAGCATATAAGATGGGCAACCCTCACCTATTAGACTAGTATTTTAGCTTGAAGTTAGTTCCAAAATCTTAGTATGTTGTGGGCTCCAGTCAACCTGGCCTGAGGTATGCCAGCTCGTGGGTAGAGCAAGCTAGGTGGCTGGACCGTATCCGCTGCGTAGTCTAACAAGTATCAGATTTTATGTCCACCATTAACATAGGAGGCTTATTTTATGCTAAAAGTTGAAGCATGCATTTCATAGCAAACCATATATATGCTAGGAAGTGTCACGTTCCTAAAACACAGGTGCACTACATGATGATTAATGAACTTATACATTGCAAAATCTATTCTTCTAAAAGCAAATTAGCAGTATTTCTATTTCAAAATAAATTATATGCGATAACTTTAACATTTTTTGTCATATGTACCATCGATCAAAACTTTATGTTAAACTATGTGACATGATTTTTTTTCAAAAAAAATCTAGTATGTTTCTTACTAAATTGATTCATATAAATCCCACTTGAGTATGACGGAATGTAATGATTGTGCTATGCTTGTGGGACGTTGTGTTGCTATGACTGGTCGGATAGGCTGAGAGCGGAGTGACACGGTCTATACATACATAGGGTTCATTCAAAATATGGCTACTTGTTTATTTATTGGGTGTCTTGTTTGAGAAATCAACTTATTCTAGATGGAGTCATGCATCATGAGTCCATATTCTTCAAATTTAGTGGAATGATCTCATTCCTCATACTATATTAGCTTGTGAGAAATGTGACAGTGACACATCAACTCATTCTATTCCATAAACCAAACAAAAAACTAGAGAGTGAGATGATGATGGACCACTTCATTCCACAAACCAAACATCCCATTAGTTTCTAATCTCGCATTTTGTACAATGCAGGAGGCTATTTTTAGGGTAACAACGAATCGGGGTCAAGAAGTGGATGTTGGAGAGGTGGAAAACATGGAAGGAGAAGAGGAAGGGCACCTACTACACTATGCCACCAGTTGCTCCAATAAATTCTCTCTTCTATATCAATATCATGACTACAAAATTAAGGAGCTAGCTATCAAAAATCTTGAGGGAGTGGAGAGAGCAGAGGAAGTAAGCGAGCACGGCAAGTTGGCCAAATATCGACAACTGCAGTCGCTGAGTTTGGAATGGTACAACAGCAAAGTAGATTGCTTGCAGGATTCAAGCACGATTAATGACATCGCAGTTCTAGAAAAGCGCTTGACCTCATGGGAACCTAGAAGTACTCAAAATACGAGGCTATAGGGGTGATACATTCTGTTCTTGGGTAACGAATATAAGTTCTTCCCTTCCAAATCTTGTGCAAGTTGAGCTCTCTGGCATGCTATGGTGTGAGCATATCCCATTATTAGGCTTTAAACTAGCAAACTTAGAAGTGTTGTGCATCTCAAAAATCCCTAGCCTCATAAAAGTGGGCGGTGATATATATGGAGCTGAGAGGGCATTTATGAAACTGAGAGAACTTACGCTTGCGAGTATGGACAACCTGGAGGAGTGGACAACCACACTATCAACTCGTGATGATGAGCAGAGACTTCAGGAAAACCATGGAGATGAAATATTTCCTAACCTCCAACTACTTACCATTACAAGCTGCCCCAGGCTGAGGTTTGTTCCAGCTTTCCCAGGAAGCCGGAGCTGTATCCTCCAAAGAAGCAGCAATGTGCTATCATCTGAGTGATACATTGGGAGCTCAAACTTATCATTATCGAAATTGGAAATATGTGTTAAGTAATCTGTTGCTCCCTAGTGTGAAAGCATGGTAGGGGAAGGCGGCGTCGAAAAGGCTTCCTACTGTGGTACTATAGCCACAACAGGGGCAGGCGCCGAACGGCTCTCCTGCCGCACTGTAACCGTAGCAGGGGCAGACGTCAAAGTCAGCCCTGCTGTCACATCTAGTCACTGTAGCAGCATGACGCCCTGACATGTCTATGTACTAGGATTAGATGGGTAGAGTTGTATATATAGTTTGCCACTGCAACTCAGTAAAGAGAGCGAGTTCAGTTTTGCCATCCCATCTGCAGAGCTCCGGTCAATGCTGGTGCTTTGTGTTGTGTGTGTGCTCTATTCTCCCTCCCTTCTTCTACCTCTATCCATAGTGTGTCCTCGGCAACGATAGTGCGTGGTCGGCAACGCTGGTGAGCGGCTCACCCGTGCCAGAGATCCAGGGGGCTAACAAGTGGTATCGGAGCCGTACAAGCACCGTCGCCGGACTAACCGCTGGCGATGATGGACGATTTGGAGATGGGCGACAGCAGCGGGGCTGTTGTGGCTGCCCAACCATGATAGGAGGTCATTGTGCGCACGGTGCGGGAGGTCAGTGGCACCAGTTGGCCGACGTTGACTCGCACCAACTATGGCGAGTGGTCGGTGACCATGAAGGTCAAGCTCAGAGCCCGACAACTCTAGAATGCTGTTGACAAGGACACCGACAACGAAGAAGATGGCATGTATGCATTAGAGGCTATCCTCGCTGCTGTGCAAGTGGAGTACAGGGAGCCATTGGGGGCGAAGAGCTCTACTAAGGAGGCGTGGGAGGCCATTGCAGCGATGCGCGTTGGTTCCGACCACGCAAAGAAGGTGACGGCCCAACTGCTCAAGTAGGAGTACGCCAACCTCAAGTTCAAGGATGGTGAATCAGTGGAGGACTTCTCCCTTCGCCTGCAGACACTCATCAGCAAGCTAAGGAGCCACGGCGTCACCATCGACGAAGAAGAGACAGTCTCTAAGTACCTCCACTTTGTGCCAGCAAAGTACATCCAGATCGCTCTCCATAGAGACGATGTTGGACTTGTCCACCCTCACCATTGAGGATGTGACAGGTCGTCTATGGGTGGTGGACGAGCGCATGGAGCAGGCCACAGCACCAAAGGACAGCGGCAAGCTACTGCTGACAGAGGAGGAGTGGGCTGCCCGGAGGAACTCCAGGGTAGCCTCCAGCCACGGTGGCGATGGCAAGCGCCGCGGTAAGGCTTCTTCGGAGAAGAAAAACAAGGTCGACCCCAATGCCTGCCGGCGCTGTGGGAAGACAGGCCATTGGGCAAAGGAGTGCTCAAATCGCAAGCAGGAGAAGAAGACTGAGGCTCATCTAGCGCAAGCTGATGATGATGATGAGGCCACTCTCCTGATGGTGACATTCTGTGCACTGCACGACGTTGAGGCCAGGGAGAAGGAAGAGGTGATGGCGGTGGAAGGGTCTGGGAAGGCTCTAAAAGCTGTCTACCTCGACGAACCGCGAGCAGGAGCAGCCGTGGTACCTGGACTTCGACGCCAGCAACCACATGACGGGCTACAAGGCAGCCTTATTCGAGCTCGATGACGATGTGACCAGCACGATGAAGTTTGGTGATGGCTCAAGGGTGGCGATCCGAGGGCGCGACACCATCATCTTCAGGTGCCAAAACAGCGAGCACCATGCGCTAACGGATGTATATTACATCCCGTAGCTGCGTTCTAGCATCATTAGCATTGGCCAGCTGGATGAGCGCGGTAGCGAGGTACTGATCAAGGACGGCGTCCTCTAGATCAGGGACCGGGAGTAGTGCCTTCTTGCCAAGGTGAAGAGATCCCAGAACCAGCTGTACCTGCTCGACTTGAAGGTGGAGCAGCCGGTGTGCCTGACCGCACGGCACACCGAGGAGCCGTGGCTGTGGCATGCCCAGTTCGGCCATCTCAACTTCGACGTGCTTGGTCGGCTGGAGAAGATGGTCCGAGGGCTGCCCCACATCAAGCATGGAGGCAAGCTATGTGAAAGCTATCTGGACAGGAAGCAGAGGAGGCTGTTGTTCCCAAAGATGGCCAAGTATCGCTCGATGGACGCTCTCGAGCTCGTCCACAACGATCTCTACGGGCCAATCACGCCAGCCACAAACGGTGGTCGGCGGTACTTCCTCCTGCTCGTAGATGATTGTAGTCGCTACCTGTGGCTGCAACTCCTGACAAGCAAGGACGAGGCGGTGGCGGTGATCAAGAAGTTCAAGGCACGCGTAGAGGCAGAGAGCAGCAAGTTGCACGTGCTGCGGACTGATCGGGGCAGCGAATTCACTTCGGTGGAGTTCGATGCATACTGCGTGGATCAGGGTGTGGTGCGACACTGAAAGCATCTAGGCCTCTAAGTGGATTTCGGTGATTAATGTCAATACAAGATTACTATGACTAACGTGTGTTTTGCAGAGGCAATTAAGTTAGGTCATGGTAATGCAGATCGATTGGGCAATCGAGGTTCTCATGCCCCTACGATGGAAATCGTTTCGGTTTTCAAAGGATGGATGACAAGGTTAAGGATAACTAGTTCTAAGTGTCAATTGAAGTTGGAGAGACACTTAGAGTAGTTTATGACTTTGTTTTTTCTTTGGCCGTTCTATGAAGGGGGGTATGAACGGGTAGCTTGACCTAGTTGAGTCTAGTGAGTTAGGTGTGGTGCACACTTGTTAAAACTAGCTCTAGGTAACTCCTATGAATGCCTAAAATCCTTTGGAGCTAACTTCATTCACATATGATTGAAAGTTAGAAGTGAATGGAGGGTCAAATACTGACCGGACGCTGGCTCCGGTGCGACCGGATGCTGGTCGCAGGGTCCGGTCAGTTTATTTGACTGAGGAGAACAAGTCTGGTGTGACCGGACGCTGGAAGGTCGTGTGACCGGACGCTGGGGGGCAGCGTCCGGTCGACTCCAGTAAGGGTCCAGACTTGAGAAAGTGTGACCGGACGTGTCCGGACAGTGGTGACCGAACCCTGAGTATCCAGCGTCCGGTCGTTTACAGTAAGCATCCAAGATCGACCGGACGCGTCCGGTCAGTGCTGACCGGACCCTGTCAGCGTCCGGTCATCACTTGGAAACTGTTGCGCAGGTTGAACTGACCGGAGCGTCCGGTCAGTATGATCGGAGCGTCCGGTCATCCCGCAGAAGCTCATAACGGTTCGTTTTTCAGGCTGGCTTATAAATAGAAGTTCCACTCATGTGTGGAGGTACTTTTGCTCATTCCAACAGCTGAGAAACACGTTTGTGAGTGCCAAGAAGAGCAAGGTCCTAGTGAGGTGTTTGTGATTTGAGAATCCAAGAGTGAAACCTCATTAGTGAATCAAGAGTAGACAAGTGTGCATCCATCTTCTCATTAGGCTTCGTATGGTCAAGTGAGAGTTCGTGCTTGTTACTCTTGGTGATCGCCATCACCTAGATGGCTTGGTGGTGATTGGGAGCTTGGTGATCACTCGGCGGAGCTTGTGGGTGACCCAACTCAAGTTGTGAGCGGTTTTGGGTGATTCGCCGCGACGGAGTGTCGAAGAATCAACCCGTAGAGAGCACTTGATCCTTGCGCGGATCAAGGGGGAGCTACACCCTTGCGCGGGTGCTCCAACGAGGACTAGTGGGGAGTGGCGACTCTCCGATACCACGGCAAAACATCGCCGCGTTCCTTTCTCTCTCTATTTACTTTGAGCACTTACTTTGAGTATTTACTTTGAGCAATTCAATACTTGTTTCACATCCATAGAATTGCTTACTAGAGTAAGTTTGGAACATAGGTTGCGAGGTTGTTGTGCATTAGTTTGACATAAACACTTTTCTAGGCACAAGGGGTTAATTGGGCTATCCGTATAATTTGATTATTGCAAGAAAATTTAGAATTAGCCCAATTCACCCCCCCCCCCTCTTGGGCATCTTGATCCTTTCAATTGGTATCAGAGCCTTGTGCTCACGTTGTTTAAGCCTAACCGCTTAGAGCAAGATGTCTCACGGGGATGGACCTCCTCCTATCTTCGAGGGGGATGATTTTCCTTATTGGAAAATTCGCATGGAGGCTTACCTAGAAGCTCTAGATGTTGGAATTCTTAGAGCCGCCTCTCAAGGGTTCCCAACACCTAAGAATGCCGCACAACTCCAAGGCGATGAAGTAAACTATGAAAATGGAATGCAAAGGCTCGCAACACCATCTTTAGAGGCCTTTGCAAAGATGTGTTCAATCGTAAGGAACCACAAAGACGCACATGCTCTATGGTCGGACATTTAAAGCGCTCCATGAGGGAACCAAGAGTGAGCGTGAGGAACGCTATCATCTTGTGATTAAAAAGCTAAATTCTTTTGAGATGCTTCCCAAAGAAAGTGCTAATGAAATGTATTCTCGTTTAAATGTTCTTGTAGAGGAAGTCAATGGGCTTGGACTTACTCAAATGTCACCATCCGACGTTGTAGAGAAAGATCTTGAGTGTCCTCCCATTGACAAATATGGGCACATTGTGATAGTGCTACATCAAGGTGATCTTTCCGCCTACACACCGACACAAATCTTGGGAAAGATCAATGCTCATGAGATGTACATGCACATCACGCCACAAGATGGCTCAACCTCTACAAAGAAGAAAGAGAAGGACTTAGCATTCAAAGCTAGCCAAGATAAGGGCAAGGCAAGACTTGAGTATGAGAGCTCAAGTGATGAAGATGATGAAGAAAGTCTTGCTCTCATGGTGAAAAAGACCGCCAAGATGCTAAAGAAGCTAAACAAGAGTGGCATCAAGTTTGACGGCAAGAAGAAGAAGTTCTTCACTAGCTCAAGAAGAAAGCCAATCTCCGAGATGGATTGCTACAATTGTGGCGAACTTGGCCACCTAGCTCATCAATGCACAAAGCCCAAGAAAGACAAGTTCAAGAACAAGGGCAAGAAAGATGATTCAAGTGATGAAGAT